CAGAAATGAGACAGAAACGAGCCAGAAATTAGCCAAAAACATGCCAAGTAATTTTTTGTTGGCGTTAAATAGACGAAAGAACCCCTAAAAAAACCATAAACTCTGAATCTAGATCTGAATAAGACATTTAAATGGATGAGGAGGAACTGTGGAGGGCAGAAAAGACCCTGAAATTAGCCAAAAAGTTGTCAGAAATTTGCCAGAAATGAGACAGAAACGAGCCAGAAATTTGCCAAAAACATGCTACCTTGTTTGAAATATCAAGATCTGAATAAGATCTGAAAGATCTGAATAAGACATTTAAATGGATGCGGAGGAACTGTGGACTGGTTTAGAACTGGTGGACGAAATATTGGACCAAACGACGTGATATTTTAGGAATATATCCGACTTTTGAAGCTTGATTCAGAATCCGAGACCCTCCGTTCCTAGAGGGATTGCTTGATATGCGTCTCACCTGTGGAGACCCTCCTCCTGAACAGCAGCGTGCCCCGCAGGATCTCCTCGTCGTGCTCGAAGGGGATGTCTCCGCACACCATGTCGTAGAGCAGCACGCCCAGAGACCAAACCGTGGCCGAGCGCCCGTGGTACCGGTGGTACTTTATCCACTCCGGGGGGCTGTACACCCGGGTGCCTGTCGGGGAGAAAAAAAACACACATGAGACGAGTTCGCCAGAAACCAAATATGGATATGGAGTTTTTAAATGGACGTTTAAATCAGTTTAAACCAGCAGAACTGGTGGATTTCTCTGCAAGAAAATGGAGATTCAGGACCAAAATGAAGGACCAGTTTAAGCAGAAAATACAGAGAAAATATACTGATGTGGGACCAAAACTTAATATTTTAGGAATATATTGATGGAGAACAATTTTAAGCAGAAAATATAGAGAATGTGGGGAAAATATAGATATGTGCACCAAAACTTGATGATTTGGAATATATAGGAGAACAAGTTTAAGCTAAAAATATATAGAAAATTTAGACCAAAACTTTATATTTTAGGTAATATATTGATGGAGGACCAGTTTAAGCAAAAAATGTAGATTGTGGGGAAAATATAGAGATGTGGGACCAAAAGTTGATATTTTTTTAATATATTGGAGAACCAGATTAACAAGAAAATATAGAGAAAATTGAGAAGAAAGTGGGACCTAAACTTGATATTTTAGAAATATATTGGAGGACTAGTTTAAGCAGAAAATATAGAGAATGTGTGGAAAATCTAGAGACCAGAACTTGATGTTTTGGTAATATATCAGACTTTCACGCGGCTCAAAACAGGCACACAAAGGGGCTCCTAAAGGCCCCGGCGGGCCTCCTGTTGTTGTTTTCTAACTCCAGAAGGGCTGAAACCGGTCATGTGATCCGCAGCTGGGCCTGTTTGGGGCTTTATCTGAGCTCAGGTGCCAGGCGGCGTGACTGAGAGTGGGAGGGGGGGGGAGGAGACATGTGACTTTGTTTACAAACTTTGAGTTGTAAAAATTCCCACTTCCCGCCAGCAGGGGGCGACAGAACCTCTCCGTTTATCCGCAACCTTGGAATTTCTCTAACACGAGCCTCAAGGCCACGACTCATCTGACCCGGGCTAAATTTGAGTGTGTGTTTGGGGGGGGGGGGTGCTTCAAAAGGAGCCTTTTAACTCATTGACTGCCTATATCCAAGGTTTTCACACAAGTATTTTTCAGATTTATATTCTTGCTTAACTCATTGACTGCCAGCCATTTTCAGAACAGAGTCCCATACTGCCAGAGTTTTTTGAGCATTTTGACTGATTTTTTAAGAGCCACAGAACAGTTTGTGCTATGACTATGTAAACACCGAACACACCAAAAGAAAGAGTAGACTCTCTTCTTTCATCAGGAAAATTTTTTTTGTTTCTACCTTATTCCGTTCTTCCTGGACTTGCGTCTCACCGGCGCCATGTTCTCTCATAGCGAACCGTTACCTTTTTCTTATTTGCCTACAGTCTATGCTAATCTCCCATCAAAAGTGGCACTGCCCCCTAGAGGGTCCATTTGTTACTACATACTCTGTCTAGAAGCCTGATATTTACGGACAAGCTTTAGCGGAACGTCCCCCAGCCACTCTCGTTGAAAAACATAAAATACGTCTATAGACGAGTTCCCAACTCACCGTCGAAGTCGGTGTAGATGGTGTCTTTGAGCAGGGCTCCGGATCCGAAGTCGATGAGCTTCATCTCTCCGGTGCGCAGGTCGATGAGGATGTTCTCGTCTTTAATGTCGCGGTGCACGACTCCGCAGGCGTGGCAGTGGCGCACGGCCTCCAGCACCTGCCGGAAAAAGCCGCGGGCCAGTTCTTCGGGCAGCGCGCCCTTCTCCGTGATGAAGTCGAACAGGTCCTTCACGTTCTCGGGCCGCTCCATCACGATGATGAAGCTGTCCGCGCGCTCGAACCAGTCCAGCATCTTGATCACGCCCCGGAAACCCGTGCCCACTTTTTTCAGAAGCACGATCTCCATGGGAACGCGGGAACCATTGGGCTATTGGAGGAGGGGGGGGAGAGACCAGGGTCAGTCTTAAAAACTCTGCGTCGTTCAAAATCAGAAATACTTTAATACTAACTCCAGATATACAACAGCGGCATATGCATATAGACATGTCTGTACATATACATACATGTATATATATACAAAATTCCTCATATAATATATATACAGTGGGGGAAATAAGTATTTGACACCTTGCTGATTTTTGCAGGTTTGCCCACTTACAAAGAATGCAACGATCTATAACTTTAATCATATGTACATTCTAACAGTGAAAGACAGAATCCCAAAGAAAATTCCCCAAAAATCATATCATATGAATTTATAAAAATTGATAACCATCTGATGAGTGGGCAAACCTGCAAAATCAGCAAGGGGTCAAATACTTATTTCCCCCACTGTATATACATACATACAA